GCCCCTCCCCTGTTCATGCTCTGTATCTCTCTCTCTCAAAAATATATATTTAAAAAAAATTTTTTTAATTAAGAGGCCATAGTCCAACATACATGTCTTTTTTCAAAATGAGACTAAGGGGTTGGTGATGTTCAAAAAGTTGTAATTATAAGTATTGATGAAGATATATATCAAACACTGGTGAGAAGATAAAATGTACCACTTTCCTGGATGGTAGTGAAAGCACGTATGCTCACTCAGGCTCAAAAATTTTACTTCTAGACTTTTATTCCAAAGAAATAATTTTAGATGTGTGCACTGATTAGCCAAAGGACCATTTGTAATAACAAAAGCGTTACTGATAGAAAAGATGGAAATAAATGTCCAACAGTAGATTAGTTATTCAAATTATGATATAGCCATTTAAAATATCATGTAAATATATTTCATGTTATAATAAGTTATTCATGGAAGATTTTAAAGTGGATTGGAAAAGGAGGTTATAAAATAGCATCACAGTGTGATTCCACTTTTGCTATTAAAAAACAGAAATATCTGTATGTAAATGTGTACCTATACACACATCTATTTTTGGACTCAAGACACACTAGCTGTGTTAGGTAATCCCTCGAGTGTCTATAATCTCTCGCTCATGTGGTTTAAGGCCAAGTGCCAAGTTACATCATGGTGGGCTTAGGCAATGGGCAAATTAATAACTCTCCTCTGTTTACACTTTCAACATGTGAGCTACAAATGAATTTAGCAAACTGGTAACTTGATATAAAGGAAATAAATCTGCCAGAAAGTCACCTAGTTGTCTTTCCAGCCTGGGAAGCTAGGCTAAGTCAACACTTTCATAGAGTAAAGAGGATAAAGTAAGATATAATAACAAAGGACCCGAGCCAGAAGACAAAGTTGTCAAAGGAAATAGTTTAATAGGGATGTCAGGCTCCCAGAATAAAAATCTAAACCCCCTAAGATAAATCATTCTCACAGGAAAGAAAAGGGGAAGGGACAGAGAGACAGAAGCACAAAGCAAGGAAAATGGGAAGTGTTCCCACCAGAGAATGAATAAGGGGACTGGTTACCCCTAAAAGGAAGGAGATGGGTTTCAGGTGGGAAGTGAGGGGTTCTCAGAACCAGGTAGTGGCAAAGAAAAGATAGAAGCAAGCATCATTGCCTGACCATGTCCACACAGCCTTGTGCTTAACTACCCAACAGAGCCATTGGACAGGGGGCTTTGACGGTAATCGGAGGGCTTTTCTGGGTCTGTGTCTATGTGTGCACAAAGTCATCACCCTTTCTTGGAAGAGGAAGAACCCCCTGCATCTACATAGGGGACACTGTGGCTAGCTTTTGTGGTCCCTGGCTCTCCCCTCTCCCAGCCCAGAGCCTAGCTGGCAAAGGGATACTCCTGTGTGAGGTACAAGCTTGGGCCCAGGTTCTGGGGAGTCTCTCCCGTCTGCTTTTCTTTTGGAGCTAGTGTTCACTCCCAAACCCCGCAAGGACAGAAGGAAAGAGTGGTCATATTACCTGCGTTGCGCCTGCACATGTTCATGTCCGCCACCTGCTTCCAGGTGTTTGTTCCAGGATCGTAAACTTCAACACTTTTCCTCACCAGGGGCCCGTCATGCCCGCCTGTGGCATACAGCTGTCCACTGAGGACCCCGACCCCTGAAAGGCAGAGTACAGTGTCCCAGCCTCAAGCTGGCTACCGCGACCAGAAACCAGGAGGCCTGGCGTCCAGTCCTGGGCAACCGTCACCAGCAGGGTGACATGAGGAGTCCTGCTCTGTTCCCCTCGACCTCAGTGTCCTCATCCGTAAAACAAATATGACACCCTGCCTGCCTCCTACAACTGTCAATCTGAGAATTCCCTAAATACAAAGCAAAAATGACCCTGTATCTATTTAGAGAAACATAAATATATATATATATGTAACATGTATGTGACCATGTATGTATAAAATGGGGAGAGAGCATTCCTATGCAAAGAAATAAAGTAAAAAAAAAAAAAAAAAAAAAAAAAAAAAAAAGACTGAAAGAAATCCTCGAAAACATTAGAAGAAGTTATCTCCAGACGGTAAAATTACATTTGTCCTCCCGTTGGCCTGTCTGTGTTGCCAAGTCTTCCTACTCGTATTCCTCAGCCTTCAATTATACTAGTTGAGTAAGAGGAGTTAAACCTGGCAACTAGCCGCGTAGCAGGTGCACTGCCATCATTACTGCGCAGACCTCCCTGCATGCCCCAAAGCAGAACCCGTCCTTTCTGCCACACACTCTCCTCTTAGCTTGTACAGGGACATTACATCACTCCCGATGTTGATAGGCCCGAGCTTGGTTCTAGCATGGCATCGTGTACAGGATTCGGTGTCATCTTTTAAAATCCTTCAGTGCAGGTCACAGAAGGAAGGGGAGTGGAAACAGCAACAGACCTGGTGTCTGGGACACGTAGGTCTGGACGTGTGTCTCTAACTTGCTGCCGGGTGAAACTTCCCCTTTTCCAGGCCTCAGTTCTCCCACTTGCAAAGCAACATGGCACAGGGGCTACCTCGCCCCACGACAGGCTGCATCACAATCAGGTGGAGAGATTTTGAAAATATAGATTCCCAGGGCCTCCCTCCCAGAGACACTGGCTGGGACTCAGAAAAGGTACCTCAGGTGATTGGGATGTGCAGCAACGTGTCAGACCCAAAGACTCAATTTCTAGGATATAAACTTCACATGGACAAGGACCCTATACTATTCAGACTATTTCCCTGTGCCTGATGGTACTAGGTCCTTGTTTGAATGCCAAAATATGTAAAATCCCATCTAGCAATTATGCTGGTTGTGCTGGTGGTTCCTCACAGTTGCCCTAAACTAACAGCAGATGGTGGTGTTGTATCAACAATGGCTATCCAACGGACTTGGGTATAATGAAATTCAGTGTGTTCCAAAGCAGCCTCATCTGCCCCTCTCCCAGAACTAGCAGAGCCTGGGTTCCAGTCATGGCCTCTTTACCCTCCTCCAACCGTCTGCGAGCACTGCTCACACGCTATTGAAAAAGAAAGCAGCATTCCAGGTCCTCAGGGTCTCCCCTGCCCTTCTGCAGCCTCTTCCACAAATGTTCACACTGATGTCTCCTGGACCTAAAAGCCACCATGGCTCCCAGCACTTCAAAGGGCCAGAAGTAGCCAGAGGCCAGAGTCTGGTTCTTCAGCCACCAAAGAACACCCACCATGCAGGTTCTCAACTCCAGAGGTGAGGCTTCCCCTAATCTTAGGGATGTGAAGCATATAACAAAAGCTGACCTGGGAGCCTGAGGCCAGGGCTCTGACAGTAACTTGAGTCAAGAGTCCACCTCTGGGAGAGGGAGCATTCTCTAAACTGAGGTCACCCAGTGCCACGGCCAGTAGAGTTGCCACCATCCACGGCCAGAGCAGCCCCAGTGAACTCCACACAGTAACAAGGCCTGCGCAGCCTGGCACAGACGGAGCAGTTCGCCTCCAGAGGCAGATCTATGGCAGATGGGGCTGGTCTGTGCTAGGGGCTCCACACGGGGCTGCCCCTCCACACTTGCTGCTTGAGATGCTCCTAGAAGCAGCCCCATGTCTCGCTGCCATTCCACTCCTCCTCAGCTGTCCCTACATCCTTGAGCTTTGAACTTGCTCTCACGCCTAAAGTCACAGAAGATTCCTAGGAAGTACAAACAAGACTCTACCAAGACTCTCTAAACCAAAATTACTAAAAGAGCTCTAGGAAGGGAGAGGAACCATCATATGTGTGCATTGAACTGGCCCCTGGGAACATCTACTGCAGCCCACTCATTTCACATCTGAGGAATCAGAAGCCAGAAAGGGGGAAGGGACTTGCTCAAAGTCACATGGCAAGTTCTAGCAGACTCAACACTAAAGCATAGGCCTCCTGACTTCCAGGCATTTGCTCCATGTTCAAGGAGGGCCGACTGGTCAGAATCAGCAAATACAATCTCACTAAAAGTAGTATTCCACATACAAATGCTTCTTAAATGGGACCATACACCTTTTTGTTTTCTAACTAGTGAGCACACAAAAGTTTTTGAATAATATTAAAGTAGCATTAAGGAATGCTGAGCAAGTAGTCATGTGTTTGGAACTGTAAAGTGAGAACACAATTCAGTCTTAAAAATACAATAAAGAAAAAAAATGCACACACAAAAAAGACCTTGAGGACATTATGCTAAGTAAAAGAAGACAGAGAAACACAAATAACATATGATGTCCACTTATATGTAGAGTCTTAAAAAAAAAATCAAAGCCCGCAATACAGAGAACAGATTGATAGTTGCCAGGGGGAGGGCCAAACGGGTGAAAGGAGTAGAAATCCTGACTCTACCAGTTATATGACCTTGAGCAAATTACTCACCCCCGGTCAACTTACTTTCTGTTAAGTGGAATTTATGTTGTGTCTACCTTTTAGGGGCAGTGGTGAGGACTAAATAAATTGAAGGTGCTTATTAGGACAGCACCTGACACGCAGCAAGCCTTCACTTTTCAGGGATGCAGTTATTTCCACAGAGATGGAAGGGATGATGGTGAAGAGAATATTCCCTGCGAGAGGTTAACATGTAAGTGCTTCTGTTGGTGGGAATGCAAATTGGTGCAGCCGCTCTGGAAAGCAGTGTGGAGGTTCCTCAGAAAATTAAAAATAGACCTACCCTATGACCCAGCAATAGCACTGTTAGGAATTTATCCAAGGGACACAGGAGTACTGATGCATAGGGGCACTTGTACCCCAATGTTCATAGCAGCACTCTCAACAATAGCCAAATTATGGAAAGAGCCTAAATGTCCATCAACTGATGAACGGATAAAGAAATTGTGGTTTATATACACAA